GTAAATGGGATCACAAGTCCGCATCTTGTACAGCAATTAACCACTAAGAAGAATATATGCAGTGTATTATTTGTTGAAACTGTCCTTCCGATATGATTTGAAACTGTCTCATTGCTATCTGTTTGTCAATAAAACTTTGAGGAAAAAAAAAATATATACGCAAAATTCTTCAATATCATTGGTTGTTTTAGAAATGCAATTGAAAACAACACTTACATTCCATCTCAACCCAGAAAGTGTGACTATGATGAGGAAGTCAACCAATACCAAAAGCTGAAGGAGCTCTGGGTAAAAAGGAACCCTTCTCCACTGTTGGTGGGACAGCAGACTGGCGCAACCACTGTGGACATCAGTGGGGAGATGTCTCAAAAACTAAGATTAGTGATCCCATTCAACCCAGCTCTCCAAGTCCCGGGTATTTTAACAGACCAACTGAGAATAACAAAGCACAGAAAAACAAGTGCACCCATGTTTACAGCAGCACAATTTACCACAGATAAATCTTGGAAAGAACTCAAATATCCATCATCTCTGGAATGGATAAAAAAAATGTGGTATTTTTATACAGTGAAGTATTATGCAACTATAAAAAAGATAAACTTGGGGCTGGGGAGATGGCTCAATGGAATAAGTGCTTCCCTGGCAAGCACAAGGGCCTGAGTTCAATCCCTGGTTCCACCAAAAAAAAAAAAGCTTTAAAAAAAAAAGATAAACTTGAGGCTTTTAGAGGTAAATGGATGCAACTAGAGACCATATTTATAAGTTAACTAAAACAGACCTACGTGTGTAAACATCTTACTGTCTCCCTAGTGTAGTAACCTGAGTGAATAGAATCTGAAAGATACAATGAGTAACGAGAAAGGCAGAGAAACTGCTTAAAGGAAGGAAGAACTACAGTTAGGGAAAGCAGAAATGAAGAAAGGAAGGAAGGGAAATGATAGACACAGGATATCCGGAAGGGAAATGATAGACACAGGACAGCAGGAAGGGAAATGATAGACACAGGACAGCAGGGAGGGAAATGATAGACACAGGACAGCAGGAAGGGAAATGATAGACACAGGATAGCAGGGAGGGAAATGACAGAAACAGGACAGCAGGGAGGGAAATGATAGACACAGGACAGCAGGGAGGGAAATGATAGACACAGGACAGCAGGGAGGGAAATGATAGACACAGGACAGCAGGGAGGGAAATGATAGACACAGGATATCCGGCAGGGAAATGACAGACACAGGACAGCAGGAAGGGAAATGACAGACACAGGACAACAGGGAGGGAAATGACAGACACAGGACAGCAGGGAGGGAAATGACAGACACAGGACA